TTATTATTATTATTATTATTATTATTATTATTATTATCATTTATTATTATTATTATGTTACGTTGCAAAACTAGGAACGTCCAAAAGATCTAAGGGAACCCTGAGATGTGAAAAATGTGATTTGTGAATCAACAGCAACAAACAGCAACAAAAACTTATATTTCACCTCACAGTTAAAAATTACAATGTTTTGCTTAAATAAAAACACAAATGATAGGGTTGCTGGCTACGAGTTAAAATAGAAACATATTGCCTCCTATTATGTAGATAAGAGGCAAACCAGTAATTTTCCAATATTGATCTCCTGAATATAAAACTCCATGTACACGTGTTCAAATCATTGACCGGGCTATTTTCTAAGAACTAGAAAGATGGGCCCTTCCTAGAAACAAGCAAAGTGCAAGGCAAGTGCCTCAGTCATCATTTTCTCATGGACATTGCCTCAGTCATAATTTGTTTCATGGACATTGTCTCGTTCATCTTTTCTTCATGCACATTGCCCCAGTCATCATTTTTTCATGGACATTGCTTCAGTCATAATTTTTTCATGACTTTGCCTCAGTCGTAATTTTTTTCATGGACATTGCCTCAGTCATCATTTTTTCATGGACATTGCTTCAGTCGTAATTTTTTTCATGGACATTGCCTCAGTCGTAATTTTTTTTCATGGACATTGCCTCAGTCATCATTTTTTCATGGACATTGCCTCAATAATAATTTTTTCATGAATATTGACTCAGTCATCATTTTTTCATTGACATTGCCTCAATCGTAAATTTTTCATGGACATTGCCTCAGTCATAATTTTTTCTGGCTACGGTCATGGAAAGGAATGCTTTAGCTGATCAGAAGCCAGGAAACTGGCCTAGTAAAGAAGACGTCCCGTTATTGCCACCGTATGAAGTAAGGAAAGTGAATTGTACTCCTTCAGACTCCACTGCCGGCGGTTTCTTGTCCTTTTTCTCCATACCATGACGCAAGCCCCTTGATAAGCGACACTAACTCGTATTCCTTATTTTACACCAAACATACTGGACAATCAAACTGTACATCAAAGCCGTAGAACCAGTCAGTGTCGTCTTTTGCTGAGAAGAAGGATCCTGATTTTTTTACCAGAATAGAGCCATCTGCGGAATCTTTCACCTCAGTGGAAACCGTGTACGCACCACTTTGTGAGCCAAAATGCTGAACTCCATGCAATGCAACAGGCTTGTTAACAGTAAAGTTAACACGGTCAGCGACAGAATTAATGTAATCCCACCATCCTCCTCCAGTTTGTGCCCGACAGAACTTTTTAAATCTGGAACATCGACGAATAGGCGTATATGCTTTCCTTGGAGTTTGCGGCTTGTATGGCAAAGGTGTTGATAAAACGTTGGCATAATGTTTTATCATGTCACCAACCTCTTGAAAAGAAAGAATGTAAGAATCGAATACAACAGAGGCAAACTCCCTCTGAGACATCAATGGAAACCTTATCTCTTTCACGATCTCTTCTCCCAGAATTCTCCTCTTGCCATCGCTTTCAGGAGTTATCCCTTGCCTCTCACTTTCTTTTGTGATCCAGCGATCAACAGCTTTAAACAGTTTCACTTCCTTCACGTTCAAATTTTCTTTCTTCACGAGAAACTCGACTACAGATCTCTCAAGTGCAACAAATTCATCTGACGTCACAGCTTCTTCTGTCTGCTTCTCGATCACTTCCCAGAATCGATCTTCCAAATCTTTATCTTCAAATTTCTGAGCGTGTGGCAGAATGCAAAACACGTTGGATGCTTTCAAATTGTCACGCAGATGTTCGGTACATTTCTCTGCGAGAGAAGGCACCATATATTTGTTCGCTAAGTATAGCACTTGCATTATATTGCTTCCGTTTAAATTCGCTTCGTCGGTGTACATAAAACGAAACAACTCCAACAGACTCTGGTAGTCACAGTCAGGCAGTTCAATAGAGTCTGTAGTCTCCGCCATTTGTCCATAGAACATGGCATAGAACACAGGACTGCTGATTGCAAGCACAAACTTGTGGGCTGGGATCACCCTCTTACTTTCACTTTCGCCAGTCGACACTGGAACAACAAATTTCACATCACTCAAGAGCTGATTGTTGAAAATAAACGTAGTTCTCCCCACGATAGTTGATCGTTTCGTCTGCCTCTTCTCTTCAACAATAGCCATCGTTGCTTGTCTTGATCTTCGTAGTTTTATTTTTTATAGCAATGTTTCGAGCTCTTCGCTTGTCGAAAACGAAACAGGAATAAGAATAAGCGGAAGTACTACTACTGGACAAGCCGAGTTTGATGTTCCTGCTTGTCACAATCTCACACAACCTCTTTAATTACTGAAAGTCTTGGAATCAAAATCAACCAAAACCTTGTAGCAAGCCGGTTTCTACCATGAGTGCCATGAAATCTCTGGGTGGACATATTGATCAGAATCAAGACTGGGAATATCATATTAAATTTATGAGATTTCCAAAAAGATTGCCGCTGGCATAAGTGACAAACACATATAAGCTGATATCAGGAATTTTGTTCCGCGTGAGGTACTTTATACTCTTAACATTTTTAATTCATTAATTCAACCTTGTGTCGATTATTGTAGTGTATTATGAGCATGTTGTTCAATGAGAGACTCACAAAAATCACAAAAGCTCCACTGATCTTGCTACACGTATCATAACCTTGGCTCAAATTATGACAGTAATAGTGATGAACTTTTTCGTGATTTAAATTGAAGCAAACTTAATCATCAACGGGCCATTAGTCAAACGATTATGTTGCTCAACACCTTATCAACCAGACCGCGCGAGATGATTTTAAAATGAAATCAGAAGATCACTGCTTCCAAAACGAACTCGTAGAGTAATTTACAACACATCTTTGTGAAGTTAGTTTCACATTAATTAACTACTATAGTTAGTTTGTTAGCTTAAATACTTTAGTGTTTTTAATTTCTTCTAATAATTTTATAGTTCACCTCCATAAAATACCATGTTAAAATAAAATCATATCACTTTTTAACTCTATTGACGCTATTAAACTGGATTCACGTTAACCGGAGCGCAGTGATTGGCTCATTACTCAAAGCCGGACTCATTTGACTCGTAAATCAGGGGACCTTGTTCAATCAGGGCTCAGAAAAATCCAACATACAAATGAAGATTTTCTTCTATATTTTATTCACTTTCCAAACCTAATTGACAAGCCATGATGACGTGACAAAACCTACGTTACAAAAGATGTCAGCCACATTACGCCGAGTGAAAAGCTGGCTATTGTCCATTGAATATAGAACTTTTCGCCGTTTCAGGTGAAGCGAACAAGAAACTTCAATGAAAATTAAATGATTTTACATCTTCACTATTAAGAAGATCACTAGACCGGTTTTGACTGTAATAACACACCAAGAAATCTTTCAAGAAATGAAAAATCTAAAACACGCGCACTACTCTTCAATACACGGGGGCACCCAACGGATCGTTTCGACAAGTTGTCTTGTTGAAAGTTATCTGTTCGGAAAAACTTTCTTCCTTGTCACCTTGAACTTTCGTGATGTGAGAAATTTAATGTTTTGGGATTGATAAAAATGTCCTTTTGGGTACCGAAAAAAGGTCAGCTATGATCTTAGGAAAGGATTAGAGCCAAGGTTTTCGGGAAATGGACAAAACAAGCCCTAATATATTCGAGAAGACACAAGTTCCCCTATAGACTGACCGAACAGATAAAATTGCATAGCGCAGCTAAAATTAACCTACCGAGCTTTAAAAGCACTCCAGATAGTCTAAAACGGTGTTTTAAAGCATTTTTCATAAAAACGTCCTTTAGTGCCCCTGAATACTAAAACTAAACTAAAGCGAAAATAAACGCGGGAAACTGACCGCGTGTTTCACATGTGCCATTATAGCTAGCATTTGATGAAGTCAAAGTGAATCGTACTCCTTCGCATTCATCAGATGTTCGCCCGTCTTCGCCATACCACGAGTTAGGGCCCTTGATAAGCGAAACTAACTTATACTTCTTATTTTCCTGCAAACATAATGGACGATCAAACTGCGCATCAAAGCCATAATATTGATTATTTTCTGCCGACTTGTCCTTTTCTGAAGCATAAGATCCTGATTGTTTCACAGTAGAGGAGTCATCTGTGCTATCCTTCACTTCTGTGACAACCGTGTAAAGTGACGGGCTTCGAAACAGAGAACTAAACACTGTCACGTTTGGAATCACAGTAACGCCACATATCATTACCTGGAGGAAAGATTTTGTCAAATCTTTGGAATCGATATCCAACGCAACCAATCCTTTTAACCTGTATGAATGGAAAAGATGATGTTAAAACACCACCATAGCGTTTCATCATGTCCTCTGTCTCTTTGGAAGTTAGAATGTGAGAATCGATTACAACAGAGGCAAACTCCTTCAGCGACTTCAATGGAAACCTTATCGCTTTCACGATCTCTTCTCCCAGAATTCTTCTCTTCCCATCGCCTTCAGGAGTTATCCCTTGCCTCTCATTTTCTTTTGTGGCCCAGCGATCAACAGCTTTAAACAGTTCCACTTCCGTCGCGTTCAACTTTTCTCTCTCCACAACAGACTCGACAACCTCGTTCCCAGGGTCCTCTCTCTTCCTCCCTCTGGTTGCGGCTGGTCACGTGTCTACGTATGCCAACGAAAGCCGCACAGAGAGTGGGTCCTCAACTTAAATTTAGTCAACACTGTCTGGGGAGATGAATGTTGCGCTGCTATGCAGACGTTATTTATTTTGAAAGTGAAGCAAGTTGTTTGTCAGAGATCCTGCCTGACCAATGCTACGTCGCTATGATCTGAACTTCTATGAGTATGAGATCCTAATTGAGAGGGAACTTTGCTCATTTTTCACTGCTTTTTTAAAAACCGTCAACAACCTGCTTAGGATTAGTTTAATCAGTTTTTCACAGCAAAAGATTTAAGTAACCGTCAAATTATCGACGGGATGCATTCAGCTGAATGAGAAGCTAGTTTCTTGGCCGAAAATTGGACTTACCGCTAAAACTGTTTTAAAACGAAAGCCGTTGGATTTTGCAAACGCGCGACCGATGTCGCTGTTGTCAAGTTCTGGCTTCATAAAATTTCTCACAGCAAGAGAACCGAATGACTGTCAAACTCTGGATTGGATGAATTCAGTCAAATTCAAAGCTAGTCTCTTGGCCAAACACTGGACGTATCAAACTCTACACGAAGGCATCAATGTCTCCGTTGTCATTTTGCCGATCGAAAAATATAAGCTGCTTAATCAAGTTATTAGTATTCAGCACTCAGTCGTTGTTGATGTCAAGTTCTTCGTAATTTGTTTTCGCCGC